TGCTTCACTCCATGTTGAATATCCTGTGAAGCAGGTATTGTTCTATTTTACAGATGAAAAAACGGACTCTCAGAAATTCAGAAATGTGAAGGCATAGAGTGGATGATCAAGCTCAGGTCATTGGCACCAGGGCTCAAGCTGTTGGTCACCACTGTGCTACCTTTCCTTGGCTCCTACCATCTGCAACTATCTCCCCACTGTGATCTCTAGCCTCTCCCCCAACCCCCACCATAAATAATGTCTTTTTCTCCACCCTCTTGGCTGCTCATGGTGGCTGGTTATAGCAGAGGAACCCAAATACCTGTGACATGGGCCATCTTCCTATCTTTAGCCTGCCATGCCCTGCTCTCCAAAGGTAGTTTCAAGGCATCTTGGAACTGGTGGGAGAGCAAAGGGCAGGAGGATGTGTATGCACAGATGTCTACTCCCAGGCAGTCATCTGTCTTAGCTTGGGCTGCTTCAACAAAATACCATAGACTGGGTGGCTTAAACAGAAATTTATTTTCTCACAGCTCTGTAAGCTACAAGTCCTCCAAGATTAAAGTTCCGGCTGAGTCAGTTTCTAGTGAGGGCCCTCTTCCTAGCTTGCAGATAACCATCTTTTCACTGTGTCCTCACACGGCCTTTTCTCAGCGCCTGCACCTGGCCAGAGTTGAGAGCTGTATGCAGTCCCATAAGGACACTAATCTTACCAGAACAGGGATCCACCCTTATGGTTTCATATAACTTTACTTTCTTACTCTAAATACAGCCACTCTGGGGATTAGGGCTTCAACATATGAATTTAGGGAAGACATATGCATTCAATTTTAACACCATCTAAATGTCCAATCACCACATTGTAGTCCACTTATTCTAAACATCCGTAGAGGGCAGATGTGAATTCAGCCACATCCCTGCTGCCGGGGAGAGAATCTAGGGCTGGGTTCAACATGAGAAAGAGCCCATTACCCCTCAGCCAGTGCAATACTATCCTAGAAAAGGGAACCAAGTTACTCAGGTTCACAGTGCTGGTCAGTTCACTTACTGACCCTGTGTGCTTTCTAGATTCCAGGTCTACGCAGGCTTAATTTCCCAGAAATTTATTCCCAAAGTGTCTGTTCATTTGAAGTGGCCAAGCCTTTGGCTTAGGTGGCTGAGAACACTGCAACACTGTAGAGACATTAGAGAGATGCTTTCCAAGTTGCGTTTATCTTAGTACTTTTTGGCTTTAACCCCTTGATGCCTTATGCCAATATCTTTTTAAGGCATCCCAAAAGTCTCCTGGAGGGCCCAGGAACTACAGGTGAATCCTAAGCCAGTCATCTTCTCCTGTTCTCCCATGAAGGAACCAGTCTTTGCATTTGTTTGTGGTCACAGAAGACAATGGGCCCTACTGAGAGCACATCCTGCTGGTGGGGTCTGCTTCTTCCAGCAGCAGTGCAGCTTCAAGCCTATAGCTCAGTTATAGAAATAGCTGTCATTTGCACACTCACTTTGTACGAGCATTATGCTAGCATGTTATTATTGGTTATAATAACTTTGGTTATACTGTTTGTTATTCAACCTTATAGAGCTAGGTGATACAACACCCATTTTGCAGATGAGGAAATAGGCTCAGACAGGTTATTTGCATGAGGCCATACAGCTAGTGAGAGGTGGAGCTGCGATTTAAAGCCAGGCATTTGAACTCCAGAGCTTGTACGTTTGATCACTCTGCATACTACCTTCAGATCTGGCTATCAGGACATGCGGTGGAGGAATACTCTGCCTCTACATTAGTCCCCTCCCCCTTCACAAGCACTTCAAATGAATAGACACTTTGGGAGTAAATTTCTAGGTAATTGAGCCTGCATAGACCAGAATCTAGAAAGCACACAGGGTCAGTTAGTGAACTGACCAGCACTGTGAACCCGCCAGCAGGGTGAACCTGAGTAACTTGGTTCCATTTAGACCAAGGCTGAAGGGTCCTCCATTTCAGCAGCATGTGATTTTGTATGCCAGCCAGGGGCCCTCATATTTCTCACATTTATTTCCATTTAGTCCTCTCTGCCACCAAGGTTCATGCAGGTTAGCTTAGGTTACCTTTATTGTAGGCTGGAGAGGTTTGGCTACCTTTCCTAAGACTAAGCTAAAATGCCATATGAGGTGATCATAGAATTGGCACCGGTAGGACCTGGCGGGTATTAGTTCTGGAAGACATGGAGAATCAAGCCCAGGGAGGCTTTCCTGGTTTCTATGCCTCCTCTCCAGTGCTTCCTGGGATAGGAACCAGGAGGGAATCTTGGGCACTGACAGAGGAGAAGTGGTGGGCTGTGCTGGGCTGTGCTGGCCTGGGCCTCAGTCTGGCCTCGGGAGCCAGTTTCAGTGTCACAACCCTTAGAATTGTTGCAGAATTTCGTGCCTATATGCATTTGGCCAGTGGCAAGAGTCCTTGATTTTCTTCAGATTGCCAAAGCCTGAGTGACCCTGGCATGGGTTAGAATGACTGGATTAGACAGTCTGTCAGATTCTTTTTCAGTCAAACCTGCTCTAAGTTCTAGTGCCCCATTGAGCCAGGTGACTCCTGAAATTATTTTAAAGCCCCATAAAAAGACTACTTGGAAGAGGATTAACTTTGGTTAAGGTTTTCACAAGGTTATCTACAAGCCTTTTTAGTTCCTCTCAAGTTTTTTGAAGTTGTTTTTCCTCTGCTGGGTTTATGCATCCATTCCCCTCCTGCCAGGTTCTCCAGGGCAGGTCCCCACTCCTTTGGGAGGAAGTACTGGGCAGCTGCTCTACCACCTGACCTTCAGGGTATTCCTTCACCAGATGGTTCTGGTCCAGACATGGCTCTTCAGGGGTTTCAGGCCGAGGGAAGCTCAGAGCAAAAGGGAAGATGCCAGGTGGAAGGGAATGCCCTGCAGAAAGGGTCCTCAGGCGCTCTGTGAATGGGAATTTATTCAGCAGCTCTGGCAGCAATTTTCCCTGAGGACCACCCTTAAAAAACTTCCCCGAGGAAGTAACTGACCTGGGGAAAAGCTGAAGAGGAGGAAGTATTATCAAAATGTCCTGGGCAGGACATTCACCCTCCTTGTCTGGGTCTCCTGCTCGGGACTGATCTCCCCTTATCCCTTTTTCCAAAGCGGCGCAAACAATTACCAGCACGTTCTCAGCACTTGGTCTAATTGGGTGAGTTTTTATTATAGAAATGCGGCCCATGAAGATGTGAGACGTGTATCCCCGACTGAGGTGGGACCCTGCGCCTCTCCACCGACCTCCCACTGCCCGTGTGCAAATAAGGAACTGGGTCCTTACACCTGGGCAGGATCCACTGAAACCCCTGGTCCTGTCATTTCCCCTGGGGGACGCGGCCCCCGACTGCCAACCTCCCAAAGTTCAGGTGAGCTCCCACTCGGATCCTAGTGGGGTCCTTCTCAGTGTCAAGGAGGAAGAGAGGCGGTAGCAGGTGTGGGGAGACAGCCACAGGGCTTGCGAGTCCTGACAGGTACCTCCAGGCTAGTTGCAAGCTCATGGTTCCTGTCTCTTCCGTGTGCCAAGTAAAGAAGTCAGCAGGCAGTGGGCAAGCCTCCTGCGCCGGGGCTGGCACGCAGTCTTTCAGGAAGGTTTTCCGACTGGACCCTCTGCCGGGAAGGGAATTAGGCCAGGGGATAAGAACGACGGTACCTACAGGTACTGGAATTGAGACCCTACACAGCCTCCCGACCCCTCGGTCTCCCTTTCCCCCGGGTTGCCACTCTAGTTCAGGAATGGTCTTTGGGTCAGGGCGCGGTGTTCCCACGGGCCAGCGACCCCCGGAGTCATGCCCTCCCTACCCGGCTCAAGCCGGCTGTCTTGGCGTGGTCAGGACCGGCCTCCCGGCAGCGGCGGCTCAGTCCCACACTACACCGGCCGCGTCTTCCAGGGCGCGCGGGCGTCGCGCAGCGAGCGGTCGTGGGGCAGCGCGGCGAAGGCCGAATGGCGCAGCTGGCAACCGATGAAGAGGACGACAAGCGCCACCGAGAGCAGCAGCAGGAAGAAGAGCAGCAGGTAGGTGGGCAGGTCGGGCTTTGTGGCGGCGCCGTCCCGCATACCGCGCGCAGTGGCCAGCTCCAGCGGCAAAGCGCCTTCTGCCTTGACCGTGGCTCCCGGCGCCAGCGCGCTGCCTACCGCCGCCTCGGGGCCACCCGTGGTGTTGAATAGGTCGCCGTACATGGCCCGCGGGTCCCACCGACCCCAGCCGGATCGCCTCACTTCGCCTCCAGCAGACTGGCGCGACCCGGCGCATCCATGGCGCGCCCTTCCCACCCCGCCGAGCAGAACTGACCAAGAGTCGGTGCCTTGGGGCCAGCAGGGGTTGCAGAGACCCCAGGACGTGTCCGCTCACTCGCCTCCGCGCTCAGCTGCCTTCCCCGCCGGCCGGCGGACCCCAGCGCTCGGAGCTGGACAGTTCTGTGCCTGCGCCTCTTCTCGCCGTCTCCAGCAGGACGGATGTCCCAGTCCCAATCACTGAGTCGTCTTGCGGCTTTACAGCAAGCAGCTCTCTCAGCTCGGACCCCCAGCTCCAGTGAGCTCCAGATGCCGGGCGCCTCGGGGCTGTGGCAGGGGTGAGAGCTACTCGGGGAGTGCAGCCGCAGCCCGGGGTCTCTGCTCAGTGCCCGGTGACAGAGAGCACGGAGGGCGGGTGGCCCGCGAGTCCTCCGCGTCCTCCGGCGCCGCCGCCACCGCAGCGTCTCGGAGCAGTCCTGCAGCCTTGGGTCCTTGTCGAGATGCCCGGTGTGCAGCTAGCTTGTCCCCACTCGCTCTGGCTGCTGTGCTCCTGTCTCGAGCAGGAGACTGAGCTTTCCGGCGGCTCTGAGCGCGGTCGGGTCCCAGGCGGGGGTGCGGGGGAGGGGCGGGACTGGCGGCGACTGCCCGGGGAAATGGCTTGAACCAATGAGTGCAAGAGAGGACGCGGCTGCGACTGCCCCCTGCCCGGCTTCACATCACTCACGGAGAGGGACAGAGACACGGGGAGAGAAAAAGAGAGAGAGAGAGAAGCACAGGGTCACAGGAGGACTGACGGGCAAAGACACAGTTACAGACCTATGAACAGAGCCGCAAGCCAAACAGGGACAAACCGTTGAGGTAAGGAAACCAACTCAGAGACAAGGCTCAGCCGAGCGTGCACACTTGCCCTGCGTTCGTTCCCCTCCTTGACAGGCTCCCTCCAGGCATGGCCTGGTTTGCTTCAAGTGCTCACTGGCTGCTGGGTAGCTCAGGCCAGGCACACGACCTCCAAGGGTGTGTAGATGCGCCCCCAGACAAGCGTATTCAAGCCGGGACTGGTTCCATGGGCCTCGTGCCCTCTCCGGCTGCGTCCTGCCGGTCTGTGTGCTTCCTGCACCGTGTGCACGAATGTTCAGCTCCCCTTTGCCTGTTCTGCCTGGGCGCAGAGGGGCAAGAGGAGGGGATGGTACTGGCAGTGGCCTCCCACCCCCCCACCCCCACCCTTGGCAGCCCTGGAAAGGCAAGGTGGCCAGGACAGAGGCGGGCAGTCAGTTGGATTGAGTAGGGAGGTGTCTCTTTTCTCAGGAGTCCAAACTGCTCACTTCCTCTGAGAAGTCTTCCAGGCCCCCCACACTACAGTGGGAACCACTGCCCTGGACCACCACAGCCCCTGCACTTCTCAACAAGCACCTACCTCTTACCCCTGGTCTGTCATTTTCTTTCAGGGCCAGAATTAGGGGGAGGTGGGTGAAAAGCCTAGGGCACAATACCGAATGAGACACTTGCTCTCAGAGTCTGCAAGTGCAGGGTTGAGACCGCCCCAGATGCCTCCCCGCTCACCCTAGACCCAGCCCTGTTGTCTGGTCACTTGTCAGAGACTCTCAAAGGGTCAGCGAAGTTCACATCTGTGTCTTTTTCCTCTTTTCCTCTTCCCCCATCAAGGGGTGCGGTACTGGGGAGAGCTTGGTAACATTGGCTGAGTGAGCCAGTAGAAAGATGAGTAGATGAGTTTGTTATTCTCTCTTCCCACTGCACCTCATGCCTGGCCACCAGCATAACAAGAACAACCAGGGTGTGCAAGGCAGACCTGGGCCATAGCTCATCTTCACAAATCCCTGCTCAGCCTGGCAGAATCACCTCCGTGAGCTCTTTGTCTAAGTTGAAACTGAGGTTCCAAGTCCTGACTCTAAAGTGTTTGTCAAAGAGGTATACAAATGCCCTCTTCAGTGTTTTTCACTTAGTCCCACAGATGGGCCTGTGGGGGTTTCAGCAGGGCCTGGCAGGATTCAACACTGCCCATCTACCCAATCACCATCCCAGATGGGATCCCCCTTGGTCCTGGGGAGCTGCCTAGTCTGCTTCCAGGGCACAGGATTTTGGGCCCCTCCACTTGGCTGCTGCCACAGTGCCTCATTTTCCAGATAGCAAAGTTGGCTCTGAGAGGGGCCAGGGCTTATCTGTGTTAGCACAGGACAGCCACCATATATCAGTGATGTAGCAGCAGCAGTGGCAGTGGGCCGCTCAGGAGATGAGGGAGTCCCTTTCTCTGAAGACTTAACCTATTTCAGACAGCATTTTTCTCAGCCAGCAGGATAGAGAACATTATGTAAAACCAGAACAGGCTTTCTCACCAGCACTGTCAGGCATGGGGAGACTCAGGTGGTGTGTTGGATGGAGGGGGTTTGGATGGAGGTGATGTTCCTGCTGTCAGTAACTTCCTGGGTCCTGGGAAGGCAAGAATGCAGGACTTGGGTAGCTCAGTTTGGGGTTTGGCCTTGAATTTCCTTCTGGGGTCTATATGGGAAGTGGCATGGCCTGCCTTCCCCACTTTCTCTCAGCTCCATGATGACCCCAGGTATGAACCCAGGAAGGGGGCTTCCTAATGCCAGGCAGCTCAGTTGGGAGGCTCTAAGTGGAATCTGGGGCAAGCCTCAGCCCTTTGAGCTGTAAAATGTGGGGTGATGGTAAATAAGTGTTTTTCTGGTCCTCCTCTGGAAACATGCTGTGATTATCCAGGAAATGGTGTGGAGCAGTGTGTCTGCAAAGTGTTTGGTGTGGATGGAAGGTCCCTGCATCTCCACTGCTCATGGTGACAAGACAGGGATGGTGGTGGGACAGGGATGGTGGTGGTGGTGTAGGGCAGGGAAATCTTTGAACCTGGTGTCCCCAACACTGCTCATTCCTTCCCCACAGCTGCTGCTGTTCCCATGCTGCATTTTATAGAAATGACACATGCAAGGTCTCCCGCCTGTGAATGAAGAAGCTGGGGCTCAGATGTGGGGAGAGGGGCTCCAGAGTCCATGCCTTTAGCCACTGTAATGAGCCAGCTGCCATGGCAGAATGATTCTAGTAGATACCGTTCCCGACTCTCTTACCACAAGCTGAGCTCTTGGGGGTGGGAGCTTAGCATTCATCTTTCTCCCCACAGCAGCCTGTGATAGGCACTGCTGTCACCCTCATTTTCTCAAGGAGAAAGCCAGAACCCAGTGTCACTTGCCAAGATCACACAGCTGGTCATGGTGCAGGGGACCCTCCAACTGTGGTCTGTGCCTTTCCACTCAGTCTGACGCCACGTTTTCTAAAGAGAAACTCAACAAAGAGCATGTGGTCAAACTGCCTTCCCTTTTAGTACAGTTGGAGGAGATATTTTGCCTTTTTGGGGGGCCCTGAAGTGGGAAGGGTATGGTTTCTTTTCTGAAAGATGTTCCGGGCCCTGAGAGGGCAGTCACGTTCCCTGCACATCCCTGGGCAGGAAATTAAACAAGGCTGGTACTGAGTAAATGCAGAGATGAAGTTTACACAGCTCTTTATACAAGCCAGAGCGACCTTCCATTAAGGGAGCTTTGTGTACCCATACATTTAAGTCTTTGGAAAAGATTATGAAAAGGCGCTTAGAGGTTGGCTTTGACAGGCAGAGGTCACAGGGCTGGGACCTCAGGGCAACCTCTTTCCCATTATGTAGTTGTTGAGTGACACATGTTCCTTCCCTGCCGACCTGTCTGCGGAGAAACCGAGGGAGGCAAGGCAAGGGTGCCTTTCCTGCCAGCGAGAGCCATTTGGCAGCTGTTTAATGGAAACTTGGGAGCCTGGAAGCATTAGAGCCCCAGGATATCATAAACTGTGCTGTGCAGGCCTGCGGTGCCTGGTGGAGCTATTTCTGTTTCTTCCGCACGCCAAGGGAATCATTATTAAACTACTCAGCGTCACGCAGAAGCTGGGGGTGAAGATCAAAGGTGAAAAGTTGCTGTCTGAAGGTTGGAGTTTGTTGCTGCTGGCGTGGGTTTTCCCTGTGTGGGTGTTAGTCTGCTGGAAAACGGAATGGTCACTTCCTCTGAGAATGCTGATGATGCCCTTGCTTGCAGAACTGTTTGGTTTGTTTTTCAAATCATCATCCCTGGAAATGGCTTTCTGTTTGTTTGTTTTAGATGGCTTTGGCAACCATAGTTTTTGGTGACTTTAAGGTTACATTTTAGAATGACTTTTTTTTTTTTTGGAGATAGAGTCCTGCTGTGTCGTCCAGGCTGGAGTGCAGTGGCATGGTCTTGGCTCACTGCAACCTCTGCCGCCTGGGTTCAAGTGATTCTCCTGCCTCAATCTCCTGAGTAGCTGGGATTATAGGCACCCCCCACCACACCTGGCTATTTTTTTTTTATATATATATTTTTGGTGAAGATGGGGTTTTACCATGTTGGTCAGGCTGGGCTCTAACTCCTGACTTTAGGTAATCCGCCTGCCTCGGCCTCTGTAAGTGTTAGGATTACAGGTGTGAGCCACTGTGCCAAGCCTAGAATGACCATTTTAAGAACTAAGTGGTGCCAGGCCCAATGGTTCATGCCTGTAATCCTAGCACTTTGGGAGGCCAAGGCAGGCAGATCACAAAGTCAGGAGAGTTCGAGACCAGCCTGACCAAGATGGTGAAACCCTGTCTCTACTAAAAATACAAAAATTTTCCAGGCATGGTGGTGCATGCCCGTAATCCCAGCTACTAAGGAGGCTGAGGCAGGAGAATCGCCTCAACCTGGAGGTTGCAGTGAGCTGAGATTGTGCCTCTGCATTCCAGCCTGGGCAACAGAGTCAGGCTTCGTCTCAAAAAGCAAAGAACTAAATGGCAAGTAGCACAAGCCTAAAAGGAAGGAAGCAGCTTTCCTAATGAGAATAGTCTATAGGAGTCTTGGAGAATGGTCTTGCCAGAGCTTTCAAAGTGGCTGCAGTTTGGTTAGTGGAGTGGGGTAACTGGAGAGCGTATGGGGTGTGAGGGAGAAAGGATTCTGCAAGGAGAGAGCTCCTGAGCTGGCTTTGTCTCTTATCCCAGAAAGAGTGCCTCTGGTTCTGTCCTTTGGTCCTGCCAGCCTGCCGGTTTTTCGCCAGATCAGATGATGGATGGAGAGAGTCAGTTTCGAGATTCACTAGCCTGGTGAATGGTGTGCCATTTATTTTTGAATCAGGTCTCACCACTCATTAGTTAATACCTCAACATCTTTCTCCAGGATCCCAATGACATGTGCCCTCATCTGCCTCTCTGCGTCCCCTTAGCAGTATAACCTCAAACCAGGTCGGTTACAGTGACCCAAGGCTTGCAGAATCCTGAGACTGATAGACTGATTGTCAACCCCTGGGCCCAATCACCTCACCTTCTCTGGCAAGGGCAGAGGTTTGCATAGTGGTGAAAGTGCATTCCTCCTGCTGTCTGAGTTCAACTAGGGGTGTTGGGTGGGGTCATGGGTGGGGTCATTGCATATTAAGGGATGTGCCAACACTCTGGCCAAGAACTGAAAAGGAGCCTAAAGCTGGGATAGAGCCAGTATATGGCCAAAGACTGGGAACAGGACTGTTGTTTGGGATCAGTTGCCAGGCTCGGGGCACCTGGTAGTCTAGCTGGCATCCTCAGGTCCGGGTCCCTGGACTTCCAGGATAGGGGACTGGGCTTTTGTGGTTACACTTATGGAGAGACTGGGGGCCAGAAGGAGTGCCTTAGACCCAGAAATGAGACAGGTAGCAAGGCTGGGAGCAGGTGTGTGGAGTTACTTTAGAGGCCCTGACTCATCTGTGGCACTGATGCAGAACTGCTTCATGGGAAGGTCTGGAACTTGGTAGTGAGGCTGGGGCAAAAGAGCTCCTTCAGGAAAAGTTTGTTTTTGTCTAGGGTTGCATTTTCTAAAATTTGGCATGAATACTTCAAGTGGGATGCTGTGTTACTTTAAGTAGTGGATGGGTACAGCATTAAACATCATGAATCATAGAATGACAAAATTTCTGTATTTTAATCTTGTTTAATTATTCTGATTACTCTAAGAAGAAAAATTCAGTCTGGCTCAGTGTCATCTCAGGTCCTCCAAGAAGCACATGCAGGAGATGTATTAGGGGAAACAGCTGCGATGGACAAAAAGGGGGCAAGAATAAGGGGCAGCAGGGAGAGCCTCAGGTCACAGTACTGTTCTGACCCCTAAGAAGGAGAGGGAAGGAAGGACTTGGTAAGAAGAGCCTTAAGCTCAAAGTGTCTCGGCCTGGCTGTAAGGAGTTCTTAAGCAAACCCCACCTGTTAGGAGCCCCCCTGCCAGGCAGGATGTATGAAGCTGGTGGCACTGTTGCCCTTGGTAGCCAAGCATGGAGTCATCTTTCCTCTGCTGAGGCTGGGGCTGGTGACCCTTTGCAAAAGGCTGTCAGGTCCTAGTGGAAGGGGCAGGTACCAGTGTTGAAGTTCCAGCAAGACTCAGACCTCTAGGAAGCCTTCTCTCCCAGCCTTTGACCCCAACTAACCCTTCCTTTCTACCTTCTCTTTAGGGGATGGACCCAGGCAGTCCCCACCTGATGACTGTTGGTCTTGACTGTGTGCCTCACATTCAGAGTCTTCTTAGGGTAAGAGTGATGTCCTCCTTCTAGGGTTGGGCCTCTGAGTCTGGACTGAAGTTGGAGCCCAGGGTGTCAAGCAGACACCCGTGTGGCTACAGCTTCATGTCTGTGGTCAGCGGTGTCAGGCCCACGTGTGTCCTGAGCCGTCATCTCTGCTCGACCTTCTCCTTCTTCTTGCCATCAATATTTCCACAGGGCTGGTTACTGCCCAGGCCCAGAGACCCATTGCCAGAGACTGAGATTATAGCTGCCTCTTGTCTTTCACTCACCCTGTGGTCCATCCTTAGGGGCAGTTCTAGGTTTTTTGGAATCTGCAGCTTGAACCTCTTAGGGGCCCTCTCTGAGAATAAGAGCAAATAATTAGGTTTTAAAGTGAATATTTATTTAGAATGAGATATGGAATCAAAATGAAATGAAAATGTAAAAAATCTGACAAAGCTTCAAAATAGAAACAAAACTATCCAGATTGGCTTTTGGCCACAAAGGAAGGACTGGGAAGGGACATCAGGCTCCACCTTTTTAGGGTTCAGGGACAGGCTGGCTGGGAGGCTGGGAGGCCAGGGAATGGTCCTGTTGACTTGTAACCCCACCCATAGCTGGGGGCAGGACCAGCTAGAAAGATTTGGTCTGAGTCAGCAAGAAGCTCTAGGACTGGGGACCTGCCTTTTCTCTGCATCCTCAGGAGTCAGTGGTCTGGGCCAGCTGTGGGGGGCTGGGGCTGGGAGAGCCAGCAGCAGGAGGTACAGGCTTGCACTCTCCTGAGCTTGGGGCTTCGGCGGGCAACTAGGAGCCTGACTTCCCTCTCGGGATTATTCCTGGCCCTGCAAGGACAGGCACCTTCTTCCTACTTACCCCATCCCTACCCAAACACCAGGTCAAGCCTACAGACCCAGTCCTCTAGAGAAAGCTCTTCTTTCCTTTGAGGGGCCCTGTCTTCCTGGGCACAAATCCTGAGGTTGCTTCCCAAATTAATGGGCACCTGGGATCAGAGAGACATCCTTTGGACAACGTTCACTCTTTATGCCCATCCCCGCCCAGCATATGCACTGAAAGGATAGGGAGAATTTCTACCCTTGACTAGAAAGAGGAAGAAAATCCAGGTTTACAAAATTCAGGTGCATATTTCTCCAGGGTGTGAAATTATGTTTTCTTTTCCTCCCAAAGTTCAAAAAGAAAATCCAACCACTTGGTTTCTCTTTGATAAAACTACTAGGGATCTTTGTTCTCTTGTCTGGATAAGTCCCTCCCTACAGCCACCCACCACCAGCTTCAAACCTCGCCCCTGGCTGCTGTCCAGGCAGCTCTCATTTCTTTCCCAGTCTTCTCTCCCGCTCTGTCACTGGGCAGCACATGTCACGGGGTGTGGCAGAACTGTGACTGGTTGCTCAGCAGCCCCAGGCAGAAGGGGCTATGGATATGGTGTTGGGCAGAAAAAGCCCCCTGACCAAGTAAGTGGTGCACATTGGTCATCAAAAATCTGGGGAAGGATCCCTTTTGCTCTGTGAGTCCTTGATGGGGAGGAAGGGATGAATATGCCATGTCCTGATTCATGAGGAAATGTGATTATTTTAAAAAAGTTTTAAAAGAGAACTGAAGCTGTCCTTTAAAGTGGCATTTTAAAACCTAAATTGGAAACTACGTTAGCATTGCCATTTTATGCTGAGGCAAAAGAAATTCAACATGCTCCTCTCAGCTCCCAGGTCAGATGAGAGATTGTCTCCATCCTGGAAGGCATTCTCTGCACTCCAGTTCTGCTGGGGAAGGCGCTTCTCCCGCATCCTTCCAGTAGGAGGCTGCTTGTGGGCTGCCTGTGGATGAGAGGAGTGGGCTGGATGGCCCCTCCTAGAGAAAGCCTGGCCCCTTCTAGAGAAAGCCTTTAAGATGATACTCCCCCAGAAGTGGTTCTGGGACTGACCAGTGAGCGGATGGTCTCAACATCTCAGCTAGAACCAAACTGGGAAAACAAGAAGATACTTGAGGTTGTACTGGGCTTTTTAAGATAAGAAAAGCCACCATCCATCCTGGCCCTCTCAGCCCTGAATTCACTCATCCAGGCAAGAAAAGCATCACCCACAGCTCCCCAACGGGAGCTGAAGGGCTGGGGATAGCAGTTCTCCAGGGACTGATCTCAATTTCTTTGCATGGGATTTCTCCCCCAGCCCCTTCACAACTACCTGGCATGGTTTTAAAAATGCAAGTTTTGGTTCCTAACCTCAGAGATTTCAACCTAGCATTTGGAGCTGCGAATGGGCATATACATTTGTGCATGATATTGTGAAATATTAACCAAGGCATCCCCCTGTGTTTCCTGACAGCTGTGGTCCTTCCTGGCAGCCAGACAGCGGCCAGACTGCTCAATATTAATTGCTTCAGGGAAGGGAGGAAGTTGCAGGACTCAGCTAACAAAACAGTCAAATTACTGGCTTTTGAGTTTCAAAAGTCTAGGCCTGGGTATAGGTTTGGAGCAAGACATGATGAGTAAGGGCAGCGCTGTGGCTCAAACACATGTTACCTTTGGGAGAATTACAGAAAGGTGCCCCAGGCATGTTAAATTTCCCTGTTGTGGAGCGCACACACTGCTCAACTTTCTATGGCAATCCTGCATAAGAGCAAAATTTCTCATCTCTAAAGTTAGAAAAGAATCTCCCTGATCTTGGGGCAGGGTAGAGCAGGAGGTGAGGAGAACAGAGTTCATGGGGACACAAGGAGACCTTAGATGTGAGTAGGTCTCTGAGAGGGGCTAGAATAGTTTTCTGCCTTGGGAGAGATGACAGAAGACCAGATAGTTTGGTGGATCAGGATGCAGAGGAAGATGGTAAATATCTTTCTTAGGTAGAGCCCCCCAGAAGCCCTCAGATCATTCCTGCAAGCTCACCTTATACATGCCTGTGTTATAAGTAAAATTTCGATGCCGTACAAGAAATAGCACTCAAAAGATAAATCCTCCCAGCAAGGCAGTTTACTTCTATAGAAGGGTTCAGTGCACGGGTGGAGCAATGATGGCCACTGCATGCTTGTACAAGGAGGGAAGAGGTACTTATACCTGACAGGGGTCGTCCCTACTGCTGTGTCGTTCCCCTATTGGCTAGGGTTAGACCGCATAAGCTAGACTAATCCTGATTAGCTATTTTAAAAAGAGCAGGGGTCTGAGCTGGAGTTGCAGGGTAGGTGTTTTGGCAGGAATGATGGTTACGGGTGGGGGATGGTGGGGAGACCTAGGTGACCAGGATGAGTCAGGATGGAGCCAGGGGGAGGGGGAACAGATGTGAACTGCTGATTAGAACCGGTGGAGAAGGTTGTTTACTGGAATTACAAGGAAGTTAAACTTTAAAATAGAGAATTAAAGAATAAGAGAACTGAACATACTGACATACTGATTCTTTGAAGAGAAACTTGGGGTTCACTATAACACCTGCAAGCTCACCTCAGTGTGCATGAAGTGCTGAGGGGCCACAGCAAGCTGCCTCCAGCTCCAAAATGATTTGGAGACAGAAGGGCTTCTGAGTCAGTGCTCTGAGAAGGGCGTGAAAGAGGCAAGCAGGCGTTCTGAGGCTGTCTTTTTGATGGGAATGAGGTTCTGTGCAGCAGCGACCCACAGGACTGACCTTTGGGAAGCAGATAGGCAACAGAGGTTTGGTGGATGCCTGCATAGGCAGAGAGGGCTGTGGGTGGGATGATCGCCTGCCTTAAGCCTGCGGAATTTATCACAGGGTCAGGAAAGTGAGTGTGGGACTCAGAACTGAGCTGAGATTTCTACCACCTCCGAGGAATGAGGGGAAGGAGGCTCCTAACAGAGATTGACTAGTAATCTTTCATTTCTTACCCGCTTGAGTTTGTGGATTCGATTTATATAAATATGTAAAGAGAACCACAAGCAAATACCTCCTAGTAATTATCTCTGGGTGGCTGGATTAAGAGTGATTTTCATTTTCTTGTTTTCTGAATGCTGAGGTTTTTGGAAATTTCTCCAGTGACCATGGTTTACTTTTGTAATGAGAATAACATTTTTAAAGAAACAGTATAAAACAAAACAGCAAAAGTAATTTGCATTTTAATTTTTCTCCCCTGTCTCCTGGGCCCTCTTGCTTCCTTCAGTCCCCTCTGCAGAAGCCTGGGCACTGGCCGGGAGGTGGGCTGGGGGCTGGAGGGGACGGATCAGTGTGCTGGGTTGGGAGTCCTGGAGCCCTGGGCCTCGATTCACAATGACAGCGGCAGTAACATCGCAAAGGATAATTTTCCACCCTCCCTGCGCCCACTTGAGAGACAGGAGGACGAGAACCCTCTCATCATTTTTGGCTTCCTGGAGATGGTCTCCTCCCCGCAGGTGGGAGGGTCCCGCCGGGCTCTGCTGACTTAGAGGGAGAGTGGGTTGGGCTTGCTCACCGTCCAAGCTCCTGAAATAGCGCCCTTTCCCGGAATCGGCTTCTCTGGTTCCTTAGACCCTTGCCTCGGAACCTCACTCTGAATCAGAAGGGAAAGGACCACCCTTGAGGGCCCCAGTAGGACCATTTGGAAAGAAAGGAAAAGGATGGCAAACCAGCTGGGCCTCTTTAAAGGATCCCCACCTGGGAGGGGACAGGGATGAAAATAGAAGCAAGCAGGCAGGAGGGGGAAGTTTAGTGGGCTGGTGGGAGAAGCCTGCTGATTATTAAAGAGCGTATTACCTGGGTCTAATTATGCACGCACAAGCAGCACATTTCCTCCTGATACAGATCGGAAGTGGCTCAGTTTCAGTCACAAAGAGTAGAAAAGGCTGATAGAAATAAAAGATAAATCTCAAATGTGAGGGACGCCCCACCGCCACTGCCCTGTGTCTTTTTCTCCCTCTCTGCCCTTACCCCACGTTGGTTTAGTTGGGAAGAGGAGTGGAGCCCCCACCCCACCTCCTTTTTAATTGTCCCCGGCTCCATTTATTATCGATATTAATAAATACTGAAATATATTATCTATATTAATAAATATTGATATACGTCATCTACATTAATATTATCTATAGTAATAAATTAATAGTCTCTCTTTCTCTACACACACACACTCACTCTCTCTCACTCTCTCTCTCTCTCTCTCTCTCTCTCTACTCCCCCATTTGCTCCCTGCCACCTTTGTCCGCAGAACCCATTGGCACAACATGGGATGAGGCCGTGTCCGCCCCACCCTGGTGCTGTAATGCCAGCGCACCCTGGAAGCCTGCTGTCCTGGGCAGGTTGTCCCCCTCAGCGCTCTGCTTTCTGACTTTAGGTGAGTTCTGAGTTCCGGGGAAAGAATGGGAGCAGAATTTGCCCACGCCCCAATTCAAGAATGACATTTCCTTGCCTAGGAGAAACAGGAGACAACATGGAGACAGGGCCATCCCTGGAGCTGGGGTTATTAACCCAAACCCTTGTTAGCACTGGCTGTCTATTTACTATGAGTTTTTAACCTAATAATGCCGTTGCATCATGGAGATGCAGCATAGGAAAAGGTGGAAGTGAGCTATTCACCCTTCCTTTTTCCTTGGTGCCTTCAATGCTTTATCCCTTATCTTTCTGTGTGCCCAAATCTTTATTTTCCTTTTATTATTTATTTATTTATTTTTAGAGACATGCTCTCACCCAAGCTGGAGGGCAGTGGCGAGATCATAGCTTACTTCAGCCTTGCACTCCTGGGCTCAAGTGATCCTCCTCCCTCAGCCTTCCAAAGTACTGGGACTATAGGCAAGAGCCACCACACCTGGCCCCTGATCTCACATACCCTTCCAAAACTGGATCAGTCCCACCTTAAGGAAGATCAGAGAACTAGCTGGAGCATTGGCCCAGGCATAGGGGGCAGTCCTTTCTCTGGTGTCCACCAGTCAGGTGACCTGATAACCATGCCATCTGGCAAAGGGCCTTCTGTGGCCAGTGTTCAAATATAGTTGATCATCAGAGTTGTTTGGAGGCCTCTTAAAATAGAGGCTCCTAGGCCCAACCCTCAGCCATTGAATCTACATTATCAATCTGTGTCAAGGGATTCTGAGGGAGGAGGTCCCAGGACGGTATTGGGAAATACCCCACAGGAATGTCCCTCCTCCCCAGGCTGCCTGCTAGGGACAGTGTCTCTACATCTGCTGCCTAGCCTAAGTGCATTCCTCTCATTCAGTTCTGTTCATTGGCACTCATCCTATGCTCGGTCCAGTTTATGGACCCAGGACCCCAGGAATTGAGCTTCCGGTTCATGCTCTACTTACGCTCTTTCTATGAAAAGGGGATCTTGAATCCTGCCCTACCCATATCACTGGACTGTTGTTTTAAATAAATGAAATAAGGGATGTGAAAGTGTTCAGAGAGCTGTAAGATTAGAAACTGAAGGGGATGTTATTGTCCATCAGGCAACAATTCACCAACTGCCTTGTGACCTCTCCTTCATATTGCCCGCCACTCTTGCTAAAATCTCACAAATCTGCTTACCTATTCACAGGCTTGTTCCTTTTCTCTTCAGTGAAACCGCAAGCTCCTCAGAGTTGGAGTTCATTGGATCCTTCCAGCCCTTCGCACACTGCAATACATGAGCTGAGGTGTGACTGAGTTGACTGGCTATATTTAGCTTGTTCAACAAAACGTGCATCCTTCTGGGATGGCCAGAACTACTTTTGCAGGCGGTGGGGCTGGGGGGGAGGGGCAGTTTCCATTGGTGTCCAGACACAGGGTTTCTTTTTAAGTGTAACAAAGCCAACCTGGGGAGGTTGGAAACCCTGACTGTGGCTTCATAAACAACTGCTGATTTGCATTCACAGGCTGCTGTTGTTTGAGGCACCAGGCCTTATAATTCAGAAGTAAATCATTCTTTTGGGATGAATGGATGGGATTGATTACTCTCCTACAGACAGTCTAAAAATGGTATGAAAAGTTCCTGGATCCTTCCTCAGCCCCTCTGTTTTAGTTATTACCGGGTCACATACCACCTCAAAACTTCATGGCCTAAAGCAACAACACTTTATTATTTCTCAGGATTTTGTGGCTGACGAAGCTCAGCTGGGAGGTTCTTCTGCTCCGCCGAGCTGAATCACTTATGCAGCTACACTTAGCTGGGAGCTTGTCTAGGCTGGAAATGTAAGAGGACCCTCAACCTCCAAGATTTCTCTCTACACAGCCTCTCAACATTCAGCATCCTAGCTGAGATTCTTGATAAGGGCTGGCTTGTGGTAAGACAAGCTGTCCTGGGCATGTGCTTGTCAAACCACTGCTTGTGCTATACTTGCTAATGCTCCATTGGCTAAAACAAGTCCCATGACCAAGCCTAGCATCAGTGGGGTAGGGGAACACACAAGGTCCTGAGAACTGGTAAGCATGTTTCACTGGGGCAATGGATGGTATAGTTCACCACAACCGTCTTTTCCTGTCTTTCTTGGGAAGTCACCCAAACACTTCACAGAACAGAACAGCAGCCATGCCAGGCATTTGTGTCTCTTTGGGAAATAGAACATCTGCCCAGTACCATGTGTCTCTCCTGGGACCCAGTGCTGCTGGCCCTGCTGTTCCCTGGGCTTGGTGGCCTGCGCTGTGACTTGGGGGAGGTTACACAGACCTAGACTCCTCTGCTCTGTGCCAGTGGTGGCCCATGCCCCTGGGTGACCTCAGCTCGGGAAGAGGAGACTCCGAGGCCTGGCAGGAGGGCAATGTCTCTGATTTTCCCTTCTGCCTCTTGCACATGCATTTCTGATGGTGGCCTCTGTGCAGCCTGTGGGAGTCCATCCCTGGTGATGAAGCCACCGACATCTCCTTCACATCTCTTTGTGTTGCCTCTAAGTCTTTGCCACAAAGTAGAGGCACCTCATACTTGGACCCGTGTGGGAACAAGTATGGGGCCCCTCTACACCCCTCCTCTTCTTTCCTTGTGTCTGTGTGCCTAGGCACTTGGGCCCAGGTCCCATTCTCACCTCCAGATCCCCCTCCTTGTCTCTGCCTCTGCATTGGGGCACCAAGGATGACTAGCAACATCCCGTGGGTGAGCTTAGGGCACACCTTTAGTCCTTTTAGAGTTACCAGGTGTCTGAGCCCTGGGTGGGTGCACACCGGCTGTGTGGGAAGTGACCGTTCCCTTGGTTTCCTCATATGTCTGTGTTCTCGTCTCATACCCTTTGATCCCTGTTTCAGAAAGTATCCCTTATGTTTCACTTTGGGTTGACTCTTCCATGTCATATGTAGGCAGGGGGAGTACAGGCTGGAAGGTCTTTAAGAATCAGGAAAATGCTGTTTTTATCCTTTGGAAGAAAGACTGACAATCTGTCCAGAGTGACTGGAATACTGATCCATGCCATCCTCTTCCTGCAGCCTCAGCACAATGGAAACAACTCACCTCTGAGCTGGTGCTTGGGGACACAAGGCTCGGAAGTCCCAGGACAGAACATCTGTGTTCTTTGAGGGAAAATATCATGAGAAGACAACTCCATGGCCTTTGCCGAAGCACAGAATATGCATTCTGTTCACACTGGTGGTGACAGACAGTGATAGTACTGCAAGCGTCTTTATGTAATGATGAGCCTAAAAGGCAGCCTCGGCTCTCAGATCGAATGTTCACCTTCACCAGGGCTCAACTGGCTCCGGGGGCATCTAATAGAGTTCTGCAGTTTAGGAAGGTACCACTGGCTCAATTTTGCTGGAGTCCCCATTCTGTGATTGATTGGAGCTAAGCATGATACCCTCGGGCTGTGTTCTGTTCTATCACTGAGATGATCCAAAGTCACTTCCTCTCTCTCAGTGACTGACCCTGCTTGAGTCTGGGACAGTCTCTGCTCCCTTCCAGCACCACTGGTCTAAAAACCCTATGAGTCAGTTGTATGGCTGCTGACACTCATGCTGCTCTCAATGATCTACACTCATCAAAAGCAGCAGAAGTCCCCAAGACCAACATCACGTTGTACTTATGTAACTTGAATAGCCACTTCGACAGCCTCTACCTACAAAATAAAGCTCTATGTTTCCTATTAATAGCAGCAACCTCACCACCTAGAAGCTGGACCTGCTCACAGTGTCTCCTGGTTATTTCTGGAGTCTCCGAGGGGTGACCCCACAAACAAGGGTGGTAATGGTGGTCACCATACTGGCTGCCCTGTCACCCTCTCTGCTTTGCTCCCCCTTCACCTCTCTGCTACCTGCTGCCTCCATAGGTGTTGAGAGATGTCTCACTGGGATCACTGTCCCTACAGAAATGCCCAACCTGCCAATTCTGGGTCTTCCCAAAGCTGACAGCTGGGCAGAGCAGAAGGACTCATCTCTCCCACCCTGAGGTACATGCATGCCCTGGGCCACACAGCAGTCCTGCTCTGCCCCATAGCCTTGCAACTTCTCTCCCAAACATTTTAACCAGCTTCTGTCCCTTATCCGTTAAACAGAATCTCACCACATCTCAAGAAAAACAGTCCTGGCACTTTCTGGCCCTCCTTCCTTCAACCACAGAAGCTCAAAACCAGCCCCAGGGTTGGGAAGGGTGACAAAGTCATTGCGCCATTTCTGTGTTCACCAGGACTCCGAAGACATAAATGACAGAAACCCAGAGCAAATTTGCGTAAACAAAAATGGGACCCATTTGGTGGGGAAGCTAAGAAGGTTTCTGGAACAGGTCACCAGCCCTGAGGAAGAGCTGCAGGAAGCAGGGCCTTGGGGTGGGCCCCACTTGGGGTCAGCGGCCCCCCTTCTGCTTCCCTCTTGCCCTTCTTTTCTCTCCTGTCCTCCTCCCCCCATCTCCTCTTCTCTCTTGCCTCTATTTCTCATCTTTGACTTCATTTGCAGACAGTCCCTCTCCATGTGGCAGAGGGGTGTCCACTGGTGTCCCAAATTCATATTCTCCTGTTCATCAACCCTGCTGAAGAAGGACTCTTCTTTCCCGGTGGCTACTTATATAGAAAACCAAGAAAATACCAAGAGCAGTTCTGTTTGTGTCTGCTGTTGATTTTGAAGGTGGGGGCTCTGGTTGGCTGCCCTGGAGTTGGGTGCTAGACATGTCTGGGGTACAGTGAGATCTGTTACCAGTCAAAGGGGGGGTCACAGCCAGTAGTACCAAGCCTACATGCTGCATAGCCCACCCCCTCCTCTCTCTGGCTTCTGTGCGGGCCATCTCTTTGCTTTATCCCTGGATAAGGCACTGGAGTGGTGGGGGTGGAAGTGGCAAAGTTAAATATGTTGTCTATCCTACCTAAAAGTGACTTGTTACATCTTTCTTTGGCATATTTAATTGTCTTCTTTTGTCCTGTTTCCCCAGCATGCTGCCTGTCTGCTGGGCGGGGTGGGGGCTGCTGACCTGAGGGGTGTGGGGTCAGTACCAGGCAGCAGCCTCGGTGTGTCAGCCTCCATGGGACACTTGGGCCTCTTCGGGCAGTGGCACAGTTGTGCCACCTCCGTGTCAAGGCACAGTGGGCTCTGCTTTGCCCAGTTATTTTTAACTCAGATACTCTGAGGATATGAAACAGGACCTTTAAAATTTAGTGTAAGGAGAGGACACGTTGCCCCTGCCTCAGCCCAGGAGAGCCTCTTCCTTCCTCTTCTCCCTCCTAGTGCAGGGGAGAGGCTGACAGGAGGCAGCTGGGCTGGTCCCTGCTCATTGTAGAGGAGGTGAGGCAGTGCGGAAGGCAGAGCCAGCCAGGCCCCGGTTGCTCTCAGCGTGGGAGCACTCCCCTCCCTCTGGGGTCTGAGCCCCTCTGCTCTCCCACCTCGCCTCGTTCCTCTCCTGCCCAGTCTGGGTAGGGGAGAACCCATGCTCCTCAACTCTCCTTTCTCTCAAACTCTGATTCTTCCCTCATCCGATCTCTCCCTTTTCTAAAGCCTCAGGCCTGTGAAACCTGCACATCTTAATTTTTTCCTGCCCTCTGTCATTCCTTCCCTGAAGCAAAAAGGGAATTGACGGCATTGGGGAAACAGTGGGGAAATACCGGGCCGAAGTGAGTGTCTGGACCTGCCATTCCACAATGCCGTCCAGCTCATGCGGGCCCTACTCCCAGGACGGGGATGAGGTAGCATTAGCCCAGCTCCTGCTGGCTCTGCCCAGGAGACCAGGCCGGAAGTGGCTTCACTCCTGTGTTCTTCATCAAGCTGATTGACATCTGTGCGTCTCTCCTGGAGCTCCTTCCCTCTAGTACTCCCACCCTGCATGGGATACAGGAAACAGCTGGGATAAACATAGCGTGGAGGCGTGCCTGCCTCTGCAAATGAAGCTCTGCCTGGCTGCCAGCCTCTGGGGCTCTCAGACTGCACTTTACAGACGCAGTCATGGGCATTTTGAGAAGTGATGGGCTCAAGGCGGCTTGTTTGTAACCAGATACTGCGTGCTCCTAAGCAAGGGAGGGTGTCAGCCTCCTTGTGAAGGTGTCTGGTCAGAGCTTTTGAGGAGTTGGCCCTGCCTTGGGGAAGCTCCCCTTGCCTGGCTTGTGTGGGCCAACGCTTTGTCTTTGGGCCTTGCTGGGAGGGAAGGAGATAGCCTCTGATGGGCAGAGGCGGCCACTGTGCTTTCTCAAGTGTGTGAGCATGGTCCTTTAGGAACAGCTCAGGGGACTAATTGGGGGCTTCTGCATGGGAAATGTCACTGTGATTTGTCAAGTCCTATTAGTGGCCATTGGAAGGTGACAAGACACTGGAGAACTCACTGCTTAACCACTGGATACCCAGGAAGCCTGGACAGGGGCTGCCACTCCCGCATCAGAGTGTGCCACATTAGGGCAAGTAACTAGGCCTCCTTCCAAGCTGTAACTAGAAGGGAAATGGGTTGAGCTACAGCAGAGGATGGCTTATGTTTCTGCAAACTCACTGAATTTCCCAGGGCCCGATGATGCTGTCTGAAGGAACTTCAGAAAACTGGGGACTAGAAGGGCCCTGCAGTAATTCACAAGTAATTCAGCAAGAGTGGCTACTCTTTGGCCCTGTGCCAGTACTCAGTGGGGAATGGAACAGACCCAACCCCCTCATGGAGCTTCCCTGGAGCAGTGGAGACAGACACTGAATGCGTACATCAGAGTTGTAGACAGAATGATGGCAAGTGTGCAGAGCTGCAGGGGACAAATGGGTGCTTCTGGCAAGATGCACATCTTGGGGAGTGTTTGTGAACTTTCCAGGGAGGACCTGGGCCCTTTCTTCTCCCCATCTGCCCTTGAGCCCCTCTCAGTTTCCATTCCTCACCCTCCTGTTTGGGTTTCTTCAAGAGCTGCTTCCTCAGCCTGGCTTATTCAGCGTGGGCCCAAGAGATGGGGCAAGTGAGGGAGATTGTTAGTGCCTGGAAGATGACTGAGCTCCTTTCCCTGCTCAGGCTGCTGATCTCTGCTGGCCCTCAGTTCCAGACCTCTCCAACAGCTCTCCAACAAAAAGGGGCCCTTTTCTGCCCTTCCTCATGGCCATCTGGCAGCCATGAATTCATTCCTGAACTACCTTTACCTCCTAGACATGGCATTAAAACCCTAATGGATGGTACTAGTTTTCTTTCCCAGTTTTTAATTACTTAGTGAGACTGGTTTTCCTTTATAAGGAGTAGATCTGAGACAGGTTTGATAGGAAAAGGGTGACCCATGGTTTGAAAATGGGATTGCCAACTGCCTTTGGCTGAAGGCTGATAGAGAAATTGTAGAATGCATCTCAGAAATGTTTATTAGCATCCTGATGAAGATAAATGACGGATCTGAAAGGCAGTCTTCCAGAAGTGTTAGCAATTTGTCCCCTGGATGAATCAATTGCTCTTTCTACAAAGCACTTCAGCCTCCCTTTTCAGAATCTGGGCTTAAAAAGAGAGCCCCACTGGATGCATATGGCTCTGTCCCCAGCACTTGGCAAGAGGCTCCGTACATAGCTGCTGAGTAAAGTCATTCATCACTTGTGGGCTTGCAGGAGGCGTCTGGATGGGCGCTTGCGAAAAGCTACAGGTGTTCTCTCCAGAACAGTGTACCATCGCAGGCAAGCACACAGCCTGAAGGGCACCTTAGGATTGGCAAGCTCTCTGAAATCCATCCTTGGTCCTCTATGGGTCCTCCTCCTGGGCCACAGTTTATGTCTATCAAGCGCCCTTGCATGTATGGTATGCCCAGTACCCATCAAATGCTTCTGTTTCTGTCTTGCTTGAATACTAGGTGGTGGTGCAGATTGGGTTGGGAAGGCCCAGGTGTGGAGCCATGTCTCATCTTCTGCTGCCTAACTGGGCTGCTAGGCGCCCAGCAAATGTTGACTTTTTCTTTTTTTCAGCAGTTGGGAAGATGTGGCAAAACAGGACCTATATTCCTTATGGCAGCAGTGAGCTGGGTGGAGTGTCTGCAGCCTGCTTTAGGTAGGGCACAGCTGTGCAGTCTGTCATCATCCCTCACCATCCCCATCAATGCTAGCACTAACTCCACTTCTATTTATCACATCTGATCAGCTGTTTTCTTATAGCAGAGTTAAGTAAAAAAAAATGTCCCTGAAGACAAAGACGTATTGTATATCTTGAAACACAAGCTCCCTCTTTCTATATATATGCATGTATATACATTTACACATACACACATGCATACACATATATATTTATTATATATTTATTTTTCCTCTTCTAGGACGTCTGCAAGTCATGTGAATTTGTAACCATCACCCTCCTGACAGGATTGGTGTAAGGATCCGGTGGACTGATGGGTGCAAAGCCCAGAGCACAGTGCCTGGTACACAGCAAGTGCGCAGTACTTCTGGCCAGCCCTAGGAGTGTGTTTCCTTGGGACCAGAGGGCTCTTCTGGAAGCCAGTGGCATCTTTGCGTACTTGCTCTGAACGAGAATAGTTTGGGACTCAGCGCCCTCTGGTGGCTGCTCTTCCTACTCACACTTAGCCCCTTTGGTGGGGGGACACTTTGAGGCCTCATTCCTGCCCCTCCCCTTCCTTTCACAGGGAAGAAAGCTCTACAATGGGAGAAAACTTTCCACTTCTTCTGCATTTCCTTCACCTCCTTCCTGACCTTAGGTCTGGGCACAGGAGGAGGGGCTTGGAGGTGGAGGCTGGAGCTTCTGGGGATCCTGGCTGCACAACTCTCAGAGGGGTGGGGCCTTCCTTCCCCACCCTACCCCCACCGCACCGGCCCATTCTCCTCCCAGAGCGTCCCTGGGCCAGGGGTTCCCAAGGCTACCTCCAGACAGGGCCAGCGAGTGGGGCGGCCCCGGCAGCGGCAGCGTATCCACAGAAGTTATTATGAGGTAATTTTATTTCTTTCCATTTTAGGTAAAAATAGTAAATACAAGATAATCTTAATAAAGGTAAAAATACATCATTTGGATTTTGTTGTTGTTTGCTAAACAGTGCTACCTACAGTACAGTTTTTGATTTTTAAACTTTTTTTTTTATATAAACAAATATAACTATTTTGCTATTAGGCTATCTGTGTTCTCATCTGGCACTTAAGAATAGATCACAGGCCACCTCCTGGTTCTGTTTGGATGTGTTGAGGGGTGGCAGGGAGGGAGTGAGAAGGGTTTGGTGGGATGAGGTGTTTGTCTTCCCAGGATACAGCCAGAGCTGCAGTCCCATTTGCAGTGGGAGGGCACAGGTGTGCACCCAAGATGGCCTTTTCCTGCTCTGGCCACAGGGACAGGTTTCACTGCGGCTGGACCAAAGGTCTCACATGCGTCGGGGGGGGGGGCTCTTCCTCCCCTCCTCCCATGGTAGCTTTTCTTACCCAACTGCCTATATTCACAGCAGTTCTGGGTCTAGGCAGGCCAGTGGGCTGGAGATGTCAGTCATACTGCAAGAGACTGAGCCAGGAGATCCCCTTTGTGTCCTAGAGGAGTGGGCTAGGGACCCCTCCCCACCAGGGGTGGGGGCCAGGGCATCCAACCTGGCCTTGGAATGCTGGTAGAAGTCACAGATGCCGATATGGGCTGCTAAATGTCTTTGCCCTTGTTCACCCTCAGGTGGTCTTTGTTTAAGTTCTTTCCAAACTTCTCGCTGAGTTGTTGGATCAGGTCTGCCAGCTCACCAGTAGCTTGAGACTTTTCCTCAAGAAGCTCATAGCGCAGGCTAGAGATGTCTTGCTTGATTTCCTTCAGCTCGCCTGCAAGGACAGAGGAGATTTTGCTGAGTCTGAGCAGGTGGAAGCTGAGGGCTTGTCTCATGCGCATGTGGGCATGTGAATCCTTCCGGCGGAATGTCACAAATTATCCCTGGGCCAGCCCACCAGGGATAAAGGTGAGGCAAGGGGAGCTCTGTTTGAACTGAGAACCACCCAGCTCCCCTAGCACTGAAGGACACATCCATCCATAGAAACCACTTCTCCTCCCATTCCAGGAAAACCTTTCCCTTAAGAGTTTGAAAGAGGAGTCAAGATCAGGGCTGTGAATTGTGTCTAGCGCCTGTTTCATAAAATGCTTATTAGGAAGTTTGTTTTGGAGTCATTAAAGGCAGATTTCAAGACTCCGAGCAACAACTCCATTAACTGGGGCACTGATTTTGATGATGCTATGTTTTGTTCTGTCCTTGTTATTTGTAGAGAAGAGAAACTCCCAGGAGCCTGTAGAGAATGGCTGGTCACAGCAGATGCAGCCATGGTAGGCATGGAGCTGACCAGCCTCCCGGGAGTGAGCGGGCCACCTAGCAGTGTCCACTCAGCCCATGCAAGCAGCAGCACCACCTCACTGACAGGAGCTGTGACAGTGCCTGCTGCCTCCTCCTTCCACAATGAGGGACCACCTAGCAGGCAGGGACTTTCACTTTTATTTCCACAGCAGACCTTGCGGTTAGAAGTCTAGGCTGTGGGAATCTTCTTATTAACCACAAACTGGTTTCAAAAGGATCCTTCCTAATACTGTAGATACTGCACTTGGCTCATGTGGGAGTCCACTGTCTGTGGAAACATTACTTATCTATTTTTCAGGTGTGCTCTACATACATAAAAGGCAGAGATCTTAAAGGTACAGTCTGATCTATTTTGACAAATGGCTACACCCCCTATTTTTTTTTTTTTTTTTTTGAGACAGAGTCTCTCTCTGTCACCCAGGCTGGAGGACAATGGTGCGATCTTGGCTCACTGCAGCCTCTGCCTCCCAGGTTCAAACCATTCTCCTGCCTTAACCTCCCAAGTAGCTGGGATGATAGGTGCCCACCACTGCGCCTGGCTCATTTTTAGAAAAGATGGGGTTTCTCTATGTTGGCCAGGCTGGTTTCACACTCCTGACCTCAGGTGATCCGCCCGCCTCAGCCTCCCAAAATGCTGGGATTATAGGCGTGAGCCACTACGCCCAGCTGAGTTCCAGGTTTTTGACTAAGTCTAACAGTTACTTCCTTGCACCAAATAGCCTCTTCCTTAGTTTCCAGTTTGACATTATAGCTGGACAGCAATCACTTTAGTATGAATCCGAATAAATGATTACATTTGTTTAGAGAGCTTAGTCATCTCCGGCCAGAGTCTAGGAACAATGTACCTGTGATTTACGTTGCAATATTTCTCTCTAAAAGTAAATAGTTCCCCCCATTTTTATCAGGTGCTTCACTGAGCCCCTGTTTCATGGTGTAATTTAAGTAGCATGACACCTGGGTACCCCCAACTTCTATGATGAATGATGTTCACATAAATCAGTTACACACTGCTTGAGTGTGTAGGACAGGGGCTGGCTGGCATGATACATAGCCATTGTGTGTTTGAGACCTACAAGTAGGTAGGTAGGCTGCTGTCAGCCTCTAAACCATGTCATCCCAGGGACAGTTCAGTCACTGAGGTTCGAGCTGCATGCCGGGTACCCCAGGATGAAGCGGAGGATCACCCAATGACCAGGCTTTTCCTGTACTGCCCTTGGCCCAAACAAGGAGAACAGAAACTTCATTCACGGATGAGGCTATTTCTAAGTAGCAAATATTTATCACAGGCGTCTCATTAGTAACCTGGTATAAAGTAATTTGCTTTTCATTTAAGAGTAACTGCTTACAATCCAAACAGTGAAAATAATATAGTTGGTAAACCTCAGTGTGCATCAGAGACCCTTGGTGCAGTTTTCCAAAAGCAGATCCCCAGGCCCCACTTCCGAGATGCTGATTCATTAGGTCTGGGTGGGGTCTGGGATCTGTAGTTTTAACAGCTAGTTCTGAGGAGGGGAACACTTTGAGAAACCTACTGCTGGCAGTTAGATGCTGAGAACCTTGAACTGAGGCAGGACAGGGGCAGTGAGAAGCAAGCGGCGGCAGACCCTGAAGGCAGTGGGCGCCTGCTCACTGTATATGCACCACGGAATGAAGTACAGCATTGGAATTCTGAACCATCCTGCACTTGAGGCACGAGGTTGGCTCCCTTAACAGAGGGAGATTATTCTGGATAATCCCGGTGGCACCAATTCAATCACATGAGTCCTTAAAAGTGGAGGAGGAAGGAGAGGAGTGCGTCAGAGATGGGACGATGGAAGATGAGGCAGGGCAGGTGGCAGCGTGAGGGTATCTGATGCCTGCTGCCAGCTCTGAGGCGAGGGGCTGTATGCACAGATCAAGTGCTGGAGCTCAGGGCAGCCCAGCTGTGGCCAGCAAGGAAACGGGACAGGCCTGCAGCCCCGTGCAAATGCACTCTGCCAACAACTGAATGAGCAAGGAGACTGAGCCTCCCTGGAGCCTCTGGAAAGGAGCCCAGTGCCCAGACAACACTGTGGCCTCAGCCCTGTGAGACCCACGTCCAACTTCTGACCTGCAGAACCCGTGTTTTTTTAGGTCACCACAAGGGTGGAAATCCAGTCACTCACCTTCATTGACTTCGTCATTTTCTCTGTCCACCTGGGCTTTCAGGACATATCTTTTTATGAGCCGTTTCATGATTTTCTGAAATGCCAAGCAGGGAAGGGATCAGACAGGCCTGGCCTAGCATAGTGGCAGCCTGTGCCGTGTAGCAGGACCCCTCCCTCCTTTGAAGTGCTTCAGCAGCCGCGGCGACCCTGCTACGCCTGGCGCCCCACTCTGGTGGGGTGCCGTGCACAGTGTGGGGACCTGGCCAGTCTCTGTGTAGCCAGGATGCAATGCCCACCTGACCCCAGGATGTCCTAACAGGATACTTCTCAAAAGCTGAGCCAAGCAGAGAGGGGGTGGGGGCAGCGGGGCAGGGCGTGGCGGGGATCCTGGATCCACGGCTCTGCTCCAGGGGCCTTGGCCTGGCTGTGCCCTGCTCGGTCATGTCATCTTTCCTGGACCTCAGTTCTGTTTCAAGGACGGAGGGCTGGGGAAGACTCAGCAGGCCTGCCTGAGTGGAACTGCCTCCCTCGGAGGTCAGAGTGAGTAGTGTGTCCTTCATGAGGGCAGATCCGGTGGGTACAGAAGTCAGGACCAGGCTTGGAGGACAAGTCCACCATACCTTGGAAAATTCCTACCAGGAGCAGAAGCAGAAACAGCTGAGCCTCTGGGGTTTTACAGAGATGCCACTTCCCACAGGCCTGACACTGCGCTGCTGGAGTCACACTGGAGAAGGATTTGGCCCTCAAGTCCTGTTTATTATGCAGATACTGAATTTGTTAAGCAGGTGAGGCATGAATAAACACTTAAGAGACACCAAGAATAGAGCCAAGTGTAGGAAAGACTGCAGGAGGTGAACTTTGGATTTTGCCAGCTAGTTGGTCCAGGGTTCCTGTGAAATGACAGGATTTAAAAATACTCGGGTAGCCGAGACTTGTGAATCTTCCAAGAGATGAGCAGTGTGGAAGAGAGGAAGGGATTTCCCAGCTCCTTGGTCCCCCCTTCCTGTGGCCTTCTCGCTGCTCACTCCTGAGGACCAAGAGGATAGAGGCAGCATTTTCTAGTTTGAAGAGACCTGTAGGGACCTGATTCTGTTCCTGGCTTTGCTATATAGGCTGAGGAAAAGCATCTTGCAAATAAGTAAATGAACTGGGTGCAAAGAGCTGGAGGATTTACTCGTTACCACCAATTTATGGTTCTTTCCATCTCTTTAACCGTGAACAGCTTGCTACAGAGATGCTTCCTGGCCTGTGATTTCCAGCTTCACTTGAACCCAAAAAGGCTCTTTAGGATAACACCAGGCTTAGCTCATTCAGGCTAGCGCTGCCCCTTCTCAGCCCTTGGGCTCATGAGCCAACTAGCTCTGTGCTTTGAGTCGTGATCTGATTTCAGGCTGAACAGTTAATTGGCAAGTTACCTCCCTGCTGCTCCTTGTCAGAGTAAGCCTGGGTCTTATCCCACTAGTGGTTAAACTCTCAGTGCTGAATTTCTCATGGACATAGTCTAGTCAATAAAGCAAGTTATCTACGTTATAAAAATATGTCCCTTTTGAGCCAGGTGCGGTGGCTTATGCCTGTAATGCCAGCACTTTGGGAGGCTGAGGTGGGCAGATTACATGAGGTCAGGAGTTCAAGACCAGCCTGGACAACATGGCGAAACCCCATCTCTACTAAAATACAAAAATCAGCCAGGTGTGGTGGCGTGTGCCTGTAAACTCAGCTACTTGGGAGGCTGAGGCAGGAGAATTACTTGAACCTGGGAGGTGGAGGTGACAGTGAGCTGAAATTATGCCACTGCTCTCCAGCCTGGATGACACAACAAGAAACTATCTCACAAAAAACATCTGTATCTGTATCTCTATATCTATGTAATATATATAGATATCCCTTTCCATGAGACTCAGTAATGCTGTTTTCACTTTGAGTTGGAAAAACAAAACAAGACAAAAACTTTGTCCTAAACTAGTTCTCAGGAAAAAGAAAATGTAACAAAACAAGACACCTAGGTATCTGTCATTCTTACTGAATAAGAAATTCAGAAGTGTTCTTCCACTGCAAGCTTTCAAGCTGACACAAGTTAAAAAGACCTAGTTAAATTGGTTAACTTTCCAAGGCAAACCTCAGGAATTAAGGGCTTTTCAGTTTCTGGATCCATCGATTAAAGAACTTTACTGTTTCTCATGTAAAATGATAAGCCAGAGATGGGCAGTCAAGTGGCGTTGAGGAAAATCCTTTCGTAGGTGTAGCCGGAATTACAGCCCTTCCGGTGTGGTGTGCACTCTGTGTGTTTAAGAACGTTCCGTAGCATATATTTACTAGTAATAGAAAATGTGCCCCTCAGACTCCAGTTGGCTGGGATAGGTGATATCCTCCTCACAGCCTTGTTTGGTGCAGAGGAACCCCTCGGGAGGAAGGGCGAAAGGATGAAGAAGAAGCAAAGAAGCAAATGCACTGAGTGCTTCCATAGACCAGGATCATGCCAGCCTCTCACAAAAGTGATCTCACTGACTCCTCCAAGAAACTCAGTGAGATGAGAGTTGTCATCTCCATTTACAGATGAGGATGCTGAGGCTCAGAGACTGATGTGACTTCTCCAACGTCACACAGCTGGAAAGTGGCAGATCTGAGATTTAACCAGCATGGAAACCAAAGCTGGGGCTTCATCTGAGCATCAAAGTAAAGGCTCAAGATGGTTTAGGGAATGAGATGTGGGAAACTGGCTCCCATTAGTCAAAGAGCGTTTGGACCGTGTCTGAGTACTGAGTCTTTTTATGCAAGGGGACAACCTGAGCCAAAGTTTCTGTAGACCTAGGGCTCAGAGGGTAGAAAAGCAAAGGTTTACTTTGGAGCCCTCAGCATGCATTAGGATTATAAAGCTTCCTGTGGAAGCAGAATCAGATGAGCACTGCAGATGTGCAGGGACACTTTGGCCTTCCTCCTCACCTCCAGGGCACTTACAAGAGTGACAGGGACCTTCAGGGAGAGCAGTGTGACCACCTGCCAGTTCTTAAAGACTTCATGTCCTGCTGGACACAGTGGCTCATGCCGGTAATCCCAGCACTTTGGGATTTGAAGGCTGAGACAGGTGGATCACTTGAGGCCAGAAGTTGGAGACCAGCCTGGGTAACATGGCGAAACCCCATCTCTACTAAAAATACAAAAATTAGCTGAGTGTGGTGATGCACGCCTGTAGTCCCAGCTACTTGGGAGGCTGAGGCAGGATAATTGCTTGAACCTGGGAGGCAGAAGTTGCAGTGAGTTGAGATCGTGCCACTGCACTGCAGTCTGGGTGACAGAGCGAGACTCTGTTTCAAAAACCAAAAAAACTTCATGTCCTCATAGGGACCTGACTTCCCTTCTGTATTTGCATGCTAGACAACTTGGTATCTGCAAAAGCCAGTTTTGCCACCAGAAAGTCTGAAGTGGTTGGAGAAAGTTCTATTTGGCATGGATAGTACAAAGAATATCTATTTCTATTCTATTTCATTAAAATGGTAAAATTGCAATTACATTTGCTCCAACCTAATAGAAAAGATGGACATAGAAAGCCTTCCTTCTTTCACTATACGGGGGAAATGTGTGTATGTTGTGATGAGTTTGAGATACCTCTTTGCTATCTTCCATAGAGTTCTTTCTCTTCATGGAAATAATAAGCTTTCTCCAAGTTACTATGTCCCTGGTAGTGGCAACTCTCCCTGCCCTGCCCGCATGCATTAGCAAGTACTGGAAATGAGTGTATTTAGTGCACCCACTCAGGCAAAGAATACTCAAGTGGATGAAGACGAGATACACAATGGATAAGAGTAGTTGTCACACAGAACCCTACATCCGGAGAGGAAGGCACACAGTTCCCACAGTCCAGACTATGAGGGGCCAGATGGCCTCTGGCTGCTGGTGGTAAAGGGGAACATATGACATCTTTCTATGGGAGACACAACTCTCCCTGTACAGCCAGGGCAGCTGAGGACATAGACAAAGAAGAGAACACATACTGTACACTGGCGATGGCCAATGAGGTAGGATCCAGAGGGAAGCAATATGCTCACCTAGGAAAACAGAAATTGAGGAACATTTGGAAGAGAGTGTACCAAATGGATCACAGGACAAGTCATACGTTAAACAGGTTTATCAGACACAAGAATAGAAGAAATAGGCACCGGCAAGTTGTCCATCCTCTTTGATGTCTTCAGTAAAGCCCATTTAGAAGATGAAAAAGACAACTCCCCACTGGGTTTTGCGGAGCAGATTGCAGCATAAAGATTGGAGTGTATTTGAGTGATGGATGTGCCTGGATTCTATGGTTTATTCGGGATATGGCTTGTTTGCTTTGACCATGAAGAAATGTGCCTCTGAGAGAGAGTATATGGATGTGTATCCTTCCTACCCCAGCAAACGGACAAGCTGGATCTTGGAACAGATCACAGGGAGCTTGGAGAGGGGGCATACTTTGGTCATCTCACCGGTATCATAGTTTTGTTTCATTGTTTGGTCTCAGGTCTGCAGAGCCCAAACTGGTGCAGAGCCCAAACTGGAAAACACATTACAAAAAATCGTTTTGTAAAAAATAATTCAGACGACCTGGAGCCTAAGGAAAGAAAAACACAGAAAGCCTCTGAAGTCTGAAGGAGCTGTCTTCCCTTGCAACAAAGACCTCACAAAAGCAGAAGGATTGACAAACAGCTGAGTAAACACCTGAAACTCTAACAGTCGAGAAATCTAACGAAGAGAAAAAAAGGCTGCACGTTTGATAACTAAATGTGTGTGAACGATGCTGCTTTTATCTTCTTGGGAACACTAAGTGATTTCTCAGAACCACAACACGTGAGAGGCTGACAGAACATGTGCTCAGTGAGAGCAGCTCTGCCTAGGGCCTGGTTTCTAAGAAGGAGGGGGTGAATTGGGCTGCTCATGTTCTCTGCACTTGGGAAGCTGCTGTGGGTGGAAAGCAATGCTACTTGAAAGGTCACTGGTAGGCCCAAGAAAAGAGAGGAGCCACCGTCTGAACCCCACTCAAATTGTCCTTGCTGCTGGTGATAGCAAAAGTACCCCAGTGCCGCCTTCTGCTCCTTGCCTCCTTCCAAGCCCTCACTGTGGGCTTGGAAGGCTCAGATAGGTCTCTTTCTGGTGACTGTCAAACACAGGCAAGACAGGCTCTGAGGAAGGTGCTGGTGGAACACTATGAAGATACATAACAGGCAGGTGTCCAGGCAGTATGATGTGGTGAGACTGGGGGGTCTTCTGAGTCAGAGATCTCAGTTCAGTCACTTGTGTGGCCTTGGCCACTGAGCCTCAGTTTCCTCATCTGCGAAATGGGGTTGAAGACAGTGCCCATCTCCAAGGAATATGGGAGATGACACCTGAGCTAGTGTCCAGCCTCCATCCAGCTGTCTTTTAGTGACTTCCCAGGGTTTCTTCTATTGTGAGCAGATCATGACTCAGGACGATACCACACAGCCTAGCAGGGTAGAGCCAGGAGCCCATGTGCAAAGACTGCTTCCCCTCAGCCCCTTTCCTCTGATGCCTACTGGCTCAGTTTTTCTTTCTTCTTTTCTGTGACAGCTATTTGAATAAGTAGCCTCAGGCTTTCTCTGTGGAGTCACAAATTACAAGATGAGCAAAGCTTTCCAAGGTCATCAGTCGCCTGAAGCTGTAGACGACCAGTCTTTGTAATCACAGCAGGAAGCTCCTGGGGAGATTCAAGGCAGCAGGAACTCAACCATTGAGGATGGAAGATAGAGATGGGACTGCTGTGAGCTTGCTTTTGGAAATGGTGTCCTTCAGAAAGGATTCATTCTGGGATGGGACATTCACAAGAACTGATCTTCCTTTATCTCAAGATCTGATTCGGCTTAAAACCTAGGAGAGATTTGGCCCTAACCCATTGGGTATCTATCTTTTCTGTGACACAAATAATCTACACTTTTTGAAGAGCTGAGAAATAGAAATCCTTCCATTGACCAAAGGATTTGGTCTGTAAAGTAGCTCAAAGCAGATCAAACTAGTGAGTCCCAATTTTGTGCACGATTAAACACAAGATTTGCCCATTGCCAATTTTTTGCCTGTCATCTGACAGAACTATAAGCTCTTTGAGGGATGAGCCATTTCTTAATTGTGCAATTAGATCCTCCTAACTGCAGAGCTGGCTTCCGAAATATGGTTGGAGAGATTCAATTAGAGACCTGCATCTAAAAGATCTAAGTCTGTAATTGCTCCCTGTGGGAAGGTGGCACCAGGGGCACATCACCTCCACCCCAGAGGAATGCTCAGAACAGCTTAAAATTTACATCTGGTAAGAAATGATCAGCCTGGGTGAAGCTGCTGATCATCAAGAAGTAGAAGACAGGAAAGGAGTGGCTTGAACTTTTTTAATTGATCATCTGTAGCTATCGTTTATCACTGGCATGTGGGCTGATTCAAACGGGTACAGAGATCTGGCATTCATTTCCAAAAGCAATGCAAGGATTGCAAGCACAAAAGACCTTTTTCTAATTTTTATGACAATAGATTTGGCAGGCTTGCAGTCCAAGTCTGAAGACACCTATATCTACTTGACTGTTTAAGACGGACACCTGGGGCCATGCTGGGTGCAGCTAGCCCTCCCTGTAAGTGCCCAGCAGCTATACATCCAGAAAGTGCATTGAATCTGTCTGTTTTTCTCCATCACCCTACTCACACCTCAATCCAAGCAGCCATGCCTTGTACTTGAACGACGTCACATCCTCCTCACAGGTCTCCCTGCTTTTACTCTTATTCCCCACCGGCCTCCTCTCATTATAGCAGTTAGGTGGTTTTCTTAAAGCACAAAGACAATTTCATCATCTCCCCTCCTCTGCAAAGATACCCTCTCCCCTAGTCTTCTTGGAGAAATCCACATCCTGACAGTGGTCTGGCCCTCTGACCTCACCTTCCTCCACTCTCTGCTTCCACAGGGCCTGGACCTGCCACTTTCTCTTCCTCTGCCTGGAAGGCCACACATGGCTGCCTCCTGTATCCGAGTAGTCTTGGCTGACTGTTCTGTCCTTGAAGATGTCCTCTCTGAAAACCATATCTGAGCAGGAGCTCCCTATTTGTCTCCGTTTTCGAATCCTCCTGTTTTCTTCTTGCCACTGTTATCAGTTTGAGGACATACATTTATCTGTGTGTTTACCTGTTCATTGTCCATTGTCACTAGACTGGAGGTACCACTGAGGTAGAAACCACATCTGTATCTGTATCCCCAGGAAGCAGCACAGTGACTGACATATAGTAAGCACTCAATAAATATTTGTGCAACAAAGGAAGAAATGAAGCTGTATCCTCAAGGGATGACACAGCCATGGGACTAAGTCTGTGTCTTAGTGGAGTCCACTTCTGCCCATGCTTGGATGTTTGGGAAAGGGGTGGTTACCTGGTATCTGGTGGGCTTGCTGAAAGTGTTATTTGCTGTCAGATTTTCAGAATTTCTCATGCCAGCCTGGTAGCGAGTCTTCTGGGGGAGAAAGAACACACACACACAAAACATACATACATCCCTACATATCTCCTAGGCCTTGAACAGTATCCACATACGGGGCTGTCTCAGTAAGGCAGCTTCTGAAAGCTGATCTACCTGCTGCTGCTTGGCTTCCTAAAACATTGTTCCTAGGACCTTTGGCTCTGCAGGATGTTAATAAGGGTTACAGAATGTTGTTTAGTCAACTTGGGTGGAAAGCACTGAGTTAAGGTTAGATGGATGTCTTTCCTTCAGGGTTCCCTAGATGTTTTAACACGCTAGTAAACATTGAGAATCCCCAGGAGAGGCAGACAGTGGGAAGGGAGCCTTCTTCTCAGAGATCATTTTCCAGTTGCTTTCTGAGAAAAGCTGGTCCAAGTCCACTAAGAAGTTCCCTTCACTGGGGTCATGGCTCAGCCAGGCAGCTTGCTAAGTTTCCAGTAGGGCACCTCTCCAAGGGGTTGCAAGGAGAAAGGGAGGTATCACAGTAGCCTCTGCTGGCATTTGGGCTTTCAGATGTGTCTGGGTAGACTCTACAGAGTACCGGCCCTCCTTGCATGGGGTGGGGACAGCCATCTGGCTCAAACACACTCAACTCCCCCGCCCCTTCCTGTTGCCTTCTCCAACCCCATAAACCACATGCCACCTACCTTGAATTTGGAATTCAGCATGCCCATTTCAAGGTCATTTTCACAGCTTTTGGCCTTAGATTTGCAGAGTTTTATGAGGCACATCTTGATTCTCATTATGAGATAATAAAATGATTTAGGACTTGGCACTAGATTAAAAGGAGCAGGTAGAGTTCTTCCTTCATCAAAGTAAGACAGCCAGAGTTTTGCTCGGGCAAATTTCCATTCCACATCTGCATCCTCCTGTGGAACAAGGGAGACAACAACACACCCTCGAAGGCCACGATTTAACCACGAAGCCCTTCCACCCTGAGGAGCGGAGACACAGCCTGCACATTCGGAGAGCAGACTTCTAAGCAGAACTCAGTGCGGTTTTTTTACAGATGGCACAGGGAAGGGGAAATTACTCTCGCTGCAACCATGCATGATGGTCACTCTTTCCGCCTAGCTCCTTCGGACTCGGCTGAAAAGCCTCGATCAGTTCATACTGACTGCCCCTATCCTTCACTGGGTATTCTCCCCAATATTCTCCACTTGCAGCTAACCAAAGAACGTTTCACTGCCACTTCATCTTGTTATTCATTAATTTTTATAGCTCTGCTAGCTGATGCACCAGCCACCACAGCACTATTATATTTGTTAATCTCTAAAGAAGTGCTGCTCACTAGAAATATATTGTGAGCCAAAAAGATGAACCACGTAGACAAGTTTTGATTTTCTACTAGCCCCATTCTAAAAAGTAAAATTGAACAGATGAAATAAATTTCAGTAATATATTTAATGCAGCAGATCAAAAATATCATTTCAACATGTAAGCATTATAAAACAATATTAAGCTAGCTCACTGTATTGTTTCCATACTAAGTATTCAAACTCCATTGTGAATTTTATCCTTACAGCACATCTGTTTGGGCCAGCCACATTTTAAGTGCTTGATTGGCATATGCGGTTAATGGCTACCACATTGAACAACACAGTGAATTTATTAGACCGTGTATTTCTTATTGCTCAGAATGCTGCCAGGGAGGATGTTTATAGATCTAGCATATGTAATTCAAGGGGAGCAAAGCCTGAGTGTAGATTATAGGAGGTAATATGGCTGTGTTCTCTTTGGGGGTAGTGGGGTTAGACTTAAATCCAGGTTCTATTCCTTCTGACCTTGTATCTATGCCAGAATGCTGAGTGGGCCCCTGAGCGTAGCAGGTATATTTTATCTAGACAGGTTCCTTGGACCTCTGTCCTAGGAGGACAGTTGGAGACCAGGAAAGAGGCATGGGGTTTGTAATCAGACGGACCTGAACTCAAAAGCCGTTATTAGCTGTGTAACTTTAGGTGAGGTTCTTGAGCTTATGGAGATAAAACTGCTTCCCTCACATAGCCTTGAGGTCGGTAGTGCATGTGTGCTCCCTGAGCAGTGGGTTCCTCTTTCCACAGGCAGAGGCTACACTCTGAGGAGCTGTGAACCCAGCAAGGGCCCAGGAGAGGCTGCTGGGATGTACCACAAGAGTACAGGGTTATAACCAGTAGGCTTGACCACTTGGCTTTTGTTGAGGATCAACACTGGGCCTGGTCTACTTGGGGACATCCTATAAGGATCTTTTAGATTGGAAGCTTTATGAGGGCAGGGCTCACTCCTGGTCTCGCTGTACAAGAGAGGTGTAACGTAGACACCTGACCTGAAAGGAAGTGTGGATAGTGCAAAGTGCACTGGTTCTGCAGTCTGCATGGGTTTAAATCCTGGCTCTGCTCCTTACTAGCTATGCAACCATGGCAGGTGACTGACCACTCTGGGCCTCAGTTTCCTCATCTGTAACAAGAGCATAATAATACCTATTAAACAGACAGTGAGAATTAAAGGAGTTAATGCATAGATGACATTGAACAGTGCCAGACACTTAGTAAGCCCTCAATGAATGTTGTTTTCACCTCCATAGCCTAGCATAGGCCTAGCAGTCAACCTTCAGCCACCTAGCAAACATTGATGGAGCACCTATTATGCACCTGGCATGTGTTAGGGAGGCCCTGGGCATGATGATCCATGCCTGGGTGGAACACACAGTCTGGCCAGTGATGTATGTTCAACAGCTAGTCAATTAGTCTTTTACCTGTTGTTGTACCCAGAGCTGGAGGAGGGTCTAGGTGCTGAGGCCACTGACCCAGTCTGGGGGTCAGGGAAGGCTGGCTGGTGTTTGGCCTCAGATCTGAGGAGTGAGCAGTTCTCAACAAGGTCAAGAGTGGGTGGGATGGGCGGTAAAGAATTCGTAAGAGTTAACTTGTGGAAGAGGCAGTGAGAAGTGTAAATAACTCTTGAGGATGCTGGCAGTAAGGAGCAAGGGAGAAAGAGGTTGGGAGCTGGAAAGTAAGATAGAGGGAGGAATTTTTATAGTTACTTGTTTTTTTTTTTTTTTTTTTTTTGGATCAAGAGACTTATTTAAATGCTGACAGGAAGGATTAGGTAGCAAGGGGAGGGGTGAAGACGCGGGCGGGCAGGGTGCCGTGCAGTGGTGGCTGCTGGGGAGGCGGGATGAGCAGAGTGGCGCAGGGCAGAGCTGTCTGCTGCTGGAGAAGCCTGTGCTGCCTGCAGAGGCAGTGGGGGTGGGGTGGGGGTGTGGGGGGGTTAAATGGGGAGAGGCAGGCACAGGTGAGTTGTGAATTTGGACAGCAAGGGCTCAAGATCTACTGATCCAATAAATCAGTGTTCTCATGGACTGGTTTACAAATATTTGCATCATCAGAACTACGTGTGATATGAACGCCTGGCATTTTCCAGTGGTACCTACCATGGTCCAGTGAGACAGGTGGGAACATGTGCCTGCACCTGCCCCAGAAGTCCAGAGCCCAGAGGGGAGGTGTGGGGCTGTAATATATTCTCTACATGTCGGGGCCCCTTTCCGTGGTGGGATTACTTGAAATCATATGCTGTGGGCTTGCCTGCTCCTGCCCTCAGCTAGTGGTTATCCCTCACAGCCAACTGCAAGGCTTCCCATGTTACTGGCATTTCAACCAAAGCGTTACATGCCTGTTAGGATATGGCAAGCTGCCAGGGGGCGTGGTGCAGAGACCTACAGCTTTTCTAGGCACCATGTGGTTTTCTCCTACACATGGGGAAACTGAGGCCCAGAAGGCCAGGAAGGACTAGTGGACAACAGCTCATTATCCATGCTGGTGATTAAGTATGCAAAATGCTTTAAAAATATATGTGTTGTTTGTCCATCCACGATGTGCTGTATTTTCCTGGAGGGCAGCAGCTGAGGCTTCACGGCCAGGCTCACCTCTTCCTCTCACCTCTTGCCTTTTCATCTCCCTCAATCTACTCTCTTGAGGTGCTGAGCATACCACACTGCTCCACCCCTCCCTGCCTTGGCACATGTGCTTTCTACTGTGTAGAATACTCGGTATAGAAAACTAACATAGAAGGTGACTGTATTTGCAGATGGAGCCTTTAAAGGCTGACTGAGGTCAAATGAAGTCATGAGGGTGGGGCCCGATCTTGTTGGACTGATGGCAAGGCTGTATGAGGACACGGCAAGAAGATGGATATCTGCAAGCCAGGCAGAGAGGCTCAGAAGAAGCTGACCCAGCTTGGATTGGCTTCTTGGATAATCTTGGATTTGTGGCCTCTAGAACTGTGAGGGGAGAAATTTCGGAGGTTTAAGCCACACAGTCTGTGGTATTTTTTAGGAAAGCCCTAGCAAGCTAATACACAGGGATCTTTGCTTTTTTCTACAAAAGAAGCACATAAACAATTGTTTCTTATAATTTAAGGACAGAGGTGCTCCAGGAAATGTGAAAGTCCTATTTCAGATCTTCTATCTCCTTTCACTCCCTATGGGTCAAGAGCACTGTAGCCTCCTTGGAGTTCCTTTCTTTTC